TTTTTTTTTTTTTTTAAGAAATTTTCGATGGATCTCCCCGTACCCCCGTAAAACTTCGTTGTGTCTCCAATTTTGATCCACGGGTTAAGAAGTTTTGATTCGTCCATCACGAATTGAGGAACAATTCTGTGCTTTTCTGTAGGTCCTTGCTTTATTTTTGCCTTTGAGCCAAGTTGTTTTTCCAATTCTTCTTCGTTCCCTCGATGGATTACTTCCAAGAAATAATTCCTGCATTTCCACTCATATTTTCATTGCCAAAATCCCATTGAATTTACAACTTAAAATTAGAGATACAGTTAATTCTGCATTCGTACAAGATGGAAATGCGCTCGAACCTCGCACTGCAATTTGCACAAATACACAAACATGCAATTAGCTGCTAATGCGTGTTATTGATATATCGTGATTAAATCTGAACTTGATAGTTAAGAAACACGCTGATACGTAGCCTTGTTCGATAAATAGGGTTATTTTGGACATCGAACGAGCGATGCTTTCTCCGTGACAATATCATATTCTCCGTCTAGCTGCGTAAAAACGCAATTTCCTTTTGGAAAGCAAATAATAACAGCGTAACAACGAAAGCGAACACGATGTTTCAAGAAAAAAAAAGAAAAAAAAAATAAAACTTTCTCTATTTTACGATCACGCTTGTAGGAATGTGCGTGCGAGCATATCGATGATTATTGTTCGCCCCAGGCAATGTTGAAATTACCGGCAACACTGTTTCATTAACGGCCATGAGAATCCATTAAAAAGTTGATGAGTAATCTGACGCGTAACTGATTTTCGACACAGGTCGGTCGTAAATATAATGCATTAGAAGAGATAGAATGCGATGCTTCCTCTCCGACACGGAGAATTTCCATTAAATAAGAATAATCCCCAAGATTAAACTCTCCTCTCAAAAGGCATCTAAAAATATAGAAATTCATCGAGAAGGTTTTGAAAGAATATAATCAACTCGGAGAAGAAAATAAAATCCTGTAAAAAAAGTGAAATAAAAATGTATCATCAGAAACAAAATTTATCGGCTCACACTTTCAAAAAAATTTCCTCCCAACACATTAACCTTCAGAATTATTAAAATAATTATTTTTGAAAACAGCTGGGAAACAATTCCCTCTAAAAAAAAAATATATATTATTAAACTACCTCGCAAATTCCAAAGAAAAAAAAAAAAAATCCATTACTACACGATTTCTAAGAAGTTCTCTCAAGAGTCTTTACTCACAGGCCGGAGGGATCTGCTCGTAGCTGGAATTGCAAGAAAATTGCAAAATCCAATACTGAAACGAACCAGATGCACGAACGAAATAATCAGCGGTGTCCTCGCTGAAGACTGCGGTCTTGCGACGAAGTCGGCAAGAAGAAAATGACACGAGCAATTTTCGCTAGCAGCGCAAGACTGTTCATTACAGCCGGGACTCGCAACCAGTAAGCGAAAATTCGGCGCGCTAAAATATTCTCAAGGCAAAGACGATGTCTCGCAATCAACGCTTCAAGACTGGCGATTACATTTGCACAACAATTAGACGGGCGATTTTGTAATAATTTTAATTCTTTTTCTTCCTCCTTTCGCGCGAAAAACATGCCCGCGGCGAATTAACACGCCGGCTAAATCTACGCAGAAGAACGTCCATTAAGATTGAACGCGTTGATAGGGGGAACACTTTTGTTTTCCAGGCGATAAAGCTCGATGGGAATTTGCTGGTTTCTAAACGAGTGATAAATCACTGAATGATGGTTTGTCAGACGTGAGCCCTGTTAAATCCTAAATGGTTCAGATCTTAATGAACCCTCGATTTATGAGATTAGCTCTATTATTATATAGATGTAATCTTCTGTGTCCAGCAAAAAAAAAAAAAAAGAAAATAATGACAACGATCTGTTATTAAGCCCCAAATTTCTAGTGAATGAGAAATTTTTTTTCTCCCCTCCAGAATAGAAACGAAAGAAATAACTTTTCGGTTCGCGAAATCTATTAACAATTATATCTCCTTCGTTCAGAGAGGAACGGTAATCATGGTTTTCAATCTAAATTCGTAAAATTCATCGATGGAGAAAACGTGAATTACACTTTTCTTTTTTCTCTTTCAGATTTCAAAAACTGCGGTTAACCGCGCGTATCTTTTGACAAACGAAGAAACAAGCCGCAGAGAGACGACCGTTCCGTCGTGGGGATTTCGTGCGGACGAAGGATGAAAAGAGCAATTTGGCAAAGGAACGGGGAATAACGAGGCGATTTTTAAATTGGCATGCAACCCCTTTCAGCAAATTTCAATTGACATGCAACGGGAATGTCGAGCAACACACAGCCAGCTTAACGGTCGCGGGACAATTTCGGTGTCATCCGTTTTATTTTCTCTTTGCCATATTGAACGCGCCGGATGTATTAGCGCCGTGCCCGTTTCTGTTAACATTCGGGTCAACGAATCTTTTATCGTGCTTATCTAATTAACCTCGCTCGATGAAACTTGCCATTCAATGCTTAATTACGCCTTTGATCCTGAGAAATATTTTTCAGACGTCTGTTTACACGTATCGGTTGTTAATCCCTTTTCCTTTTCTTTTTAGAAATTTCAAAAAGTTACAAGACAAATAAAAAAGATCAATGTACGTACTAAGCATGAGAATCATCTGTGTAATAATGTGTAATAAGCGTTGTCGCAGTAGTGTGTAATGTCGAAGACATCGTTAAAGAAGGAAGTCAGATTCAAAACTATTGATTCGTTGAGAGTTCAACGAAAGTTCAATTGAATTATTTATAGCGGAAACGAGGAAGAATCGCTTGACATCGTTCCAGGAACATTTCTAACTTTCTGACGCAACAATTGCTCGCGGCACGTTTTCGTAACAACGAAATCTAGGTTTCGAGGGAATCAAGCGGCGAAACTTTCCTGGAAACAGCGCAAAACGAATTCTAAAAGACCACATCCGATACTGTGTAATATGCAGATAGAAGTAGAAGATTTATGATACACGATAATCTCATTTACAGCCTGATAAATTTGTGACAAAAGTAGAAAATGTCAAAAGGAGAACTTTCGAACGGCGACAAGGTATATATCTGCAAAGTAGCGAGACAAAAATCTAAAGAATTCTAATAAATAATCCCACTCTATCGATTTGATCCACTTGATTTCTATTTCAGGATGTTTTCCATACAAACAGCCGCTCCCAAAATCCAGATTTCTATGATGCAGGGATTTAAAAGCAAACGACCAATCCAATCCCACCCCCGAAAACTCGCCGCCATCAATTTCCAAGACCGGGAGATCCTTCGTGAAATTTAGCCAACACTGGTTGGCCATCTTACGGCTCATTTGCATATCAACGATTTTACGATCGTACGTTGCTTTTATCTCCTTAAACTGCCAAATGCAAAAATAAAGATATTAACTCGAGCCCCTCGTTTACCAGTTTTTATTCGTTTCGTTTCGTTTCGAAGGAGGCGGATTTCGCTGGGGAAAAATAAAACGTAAAGCGTCCCGGAGGAAACTGATAACCTGTCTCGAACAGGTCGAGGACTGGGCGATCCCCGGTGGTATGTAGGCTGAGGTCATAAATCGGTGATTTTTATTCGACCTGCAGACTGCTTTCACTGGCGGCCGACCGAACGACACACGTGCGCGAGT